AAAAAAAAAAACGTGGATTGTAATTAATTGCAAATATTTATCGTTTATTGACATTGTGGATAAAATGACACTGTGGTGAAGTCAAAGTAATGAAAATCGAAAAAACTAACACTTTCCCACCCGTTGGACAAATTGTTTGTTTGGCTGTTTGTTTGTTTGTTTGTTTGTTATCTTTTGTCTTTTGCTTCGTTCTTTAATGTCAATATCTTTTATGTTCTTTTAAAAAACAGAATTCTGTGGGTGTGTGCATGTGTGTCTATGTATGTATGAGAGTGTGTGTGTGTGTGTGTGTGTGTGTGTGTGTGTGTGTGTGTGTGTGTGTGTGTGTGTGTGTGTGTGTGTGTGTGAGAGAGTCTGTGTTCGTTCCTTTTTTCACATCTCCTGTCTGTTTCTCCCTTCTTCTCAACCACTGAATCCAACACAATAATTATTACTTTTCAATGTTTCCCACAACATGTATTTAATTCAACCTTGAGCATGCCGGAATGAAATCTGTTTTCTAGAACCTTAATCCTCAAAGTAAATATTACCTTAATGTTGTAATGGCTTCCACCCAGCATGACTGTTAATATTTTGCAAGGCATCCAGCCTAAATTTTAGTTTCTGAATTTTCCGAAACCAAAACTATTCTTCTACGATGACGGTGACAAGTTTCAGTTTCCAGCTTTGGTTTCCGAGAATGTTGTGCCCGTGGTTACATACAACTATTATATCATATTACTGCATTGACATATTGCGTTTCTACTATTTGATTTCTTCATCTCTAAGAATCGATTATGTGCCCTGCGTGTTTTGTAGTTTTCATTAAAGCCGAGCCAAGGAGGTAGGCAGCCTTGAAAACTCCCTCAATGAGATCCCAAATTTATGAACGCCCTCTGTCAGCTAAATGACCTGACAACAACAATTTCAAACCCGCTGCAAAAATCACTCGGTCTCCACACATTTTTTTAACCTGATCCCATCGCTTTCACACCTTTGCTCCTGCAGCATAGCGCGTAGGGGTTTTCTCTGAAGTTCACTTCAAAAAGGATCGTACATAACAAGATTGTTCACTCTGCCAAAAATTGTCCTCGGAAGTCTGCGCAACGTATAGGAAGAGCACAGTTTGTTAGTTTCACTTTTATTGTTTTTCCACGTAAGTAGGATAACTCTGTTCGCAAAGTCGGCCCTTTTTCGAAGAGGGTGAGACCGAATTTTGAGGGCACATTTTACTTGGCTGAAAGAAGGGAGTGAACTATCTTGTATACATGATCTTTGACTTCAAAGAGAATCGAACTTAACCTGAAAGTTGAAGCACAATTGAATACAGTTTCGAGTAGCAGATATGCGCTTAAAGTAAAAGAAATATATGTAGAATCATTTATTTTTCACCATTTCCCCTTTGCTTGTTAGGCTTGGAACATTCTTTATATTGTGTTAATCCATTTGTGAGGCAGCGTGGTGGAATCAGGCTCTCGTCAAGATAATGAAATCGAAGAGAACAGCCGTAGTTTTCTCCCTGCTTAGCAATTTTAATCAAATTTTTGTTTTTTGACTCAACACCTTTAATGTCCATTTACGAACACATTCCTTTGAGGATATCACAGAAAACGTTGATTAAAGGCACAAAAATATAGATTTACAGTTTCCATGGACTCTCCAGCTTTGGAATTTACCAAGCTTTGGCGGCCATTTTCTTTCTCGCTAAGTTTACCTCTTAAACCAGGTGACCCCCACCTCCCTCAATCCAAAATATCTCCACATCTATTGAAGATGGATGGGTAATTTTTTCATTGAAAGCAAGAAAAATGAACAAGCTTTAAGATGATACCAAACACTCAATATTCCCAAAAATTGACGAGAGCTTGATTCCACCCTGCTGCCTCACATTTACCGTTCGTTTATTCGATACCAGGCCGACACTCACCCATTGTTATTCCATAGTTTGCTTCAACAATAGATGCCGCCAAAACGCGTTGAGATCGAGTAATTAGCTATTTCAAAAACAAATGTGCCGACGCGTTGAGCTCGAGTGGACCCGTGGATATCACCTCACTGTAACCTGTTTGGGGATGAAATGGGGGATTCCTTAGTCAAACAAGGGTCTCGATCTGAGAAACTGGATAAAAGAGGCAAGCCTTTCTAAGGCCAAAACCACCATCAAAAGGGGACTACAGGGAAAATTTGCCCAACCTTAGGCAGAGAGACCCAAAGCTCTTGGGAGCCTGGGTACTTACGGCGAACAGCAGCCATCATGCTTGAAACTGGGACGTCCATTCAGAGATGAACAAGAAGAAAAAGGACACCGTTCTAGAATTTGAATCAGGGTTATTCGTATTATAGTCCAGCACAATGATGACTGGGCCATTGGCACCCCCTATTTTGCATTATTTCTGCATGCTTCGTGCTATTCTTTAAAACAAAAAACTTTCTAAAATTGAAACAATTGCTTCTTCTTATTATTATTCTCTCTCTCTCTCTCTCTCTCTCTCTCTCTAAGTTAGTGTCATGATTATGGTCTGGGCGTAATATTATGTATAATATAAACAGTGTTGTAAGGGAGTGGTTGGGCAGTGTGTGTGTGTGT